GGCCGATTAGCACTGGCTGTCAATCGTTTTGGGCTATGCTTTGCTCCATCGGAATGCAAATTTCTTCTCCATTATTGGCAGGGACCCACCTCTGCGCTGACCCTTGGTGGTGATCAGCTAGAAGTCGTTTAGGTATTCAAGTACCCGGGCAGTTGAAGATGAGGTTACGAACCGTATAGCAAAAGCTCTAGGTGTTTTTGCCAACGTATGCCACCTGTGGCGCAGATGCGACATGACTCTCTCCATGAAGGGTAGAGTGTATAATGCAGCCGTCCATTCAACCCTCTTATACGGTTGTGAAACCTGGCCCATCAGGTCGACAGACATAAAGTGGTTGGTCACGTTCGATCATCGCTGCCTTCGCATCTTAGCTCACGTCTGGTGAGAACACTGCGTGAGCACTGAACGTGTTCTGTGTCATGTACTTAGTGCAGGAAGAAAGAGTGAACTACTCAACACCGTTATAACACACTCCTGGCTCTGATAGATGGGCCACGTCTTTCGCATGCCCGCGCACTGGCTCCCACGATGTACATTGTTTGTGCGATTGGGGTGTGGATAGAAGAAGGGGATGGGCGAGTAAGCAATGACTTGGTCAATTGACATGAAGACCGTTATTTTGAACTTGATATCGGGTGGTGCATCTCGACTGCCGGGCTATGGGCTGAAAGAAGATGAACATGTCTAGTTCGATGCACTTGTTGACATAACATGGAGCCGACCTCAATAGCGTTTGTGTTGTGAGTTTCTTTGTCTGTCCCCCTCCCGTTTAGCTTCTCTAATAACCACCTTATTTATTATGTATGGTTTAACTCATTTTTTGCTGCACAATAGACGACAGGTGGCTCTCAAACACGAGGCGCACCCGTTACTGGTAGCTCAGCTGGCGTGCCTCTGTTGCCTGCTTTTTTTCCTTTTCTTTAGTATTACGGCACAATAGCTGAGGCGTCTTCCACCCTTAGCCGACGTGTATAATGATGGTGATACCCTGCTGCTCCTATCACCTGGATGGTCACTGAAGTGGAGAAGTTCGGTTTTGCGCTCTCTGATGCCTGCACTCCACGACGCGTGTTGTCCTTGCTTGGACTTGTCAGGTAGCGATAGCCTGGGCTGGGAGTAAAACTGCACTTAGGGGTTGGCGGCTATCGCCCTGCTCAGTGGGCCATTGAACTTTATCCAGGTTAAGAAAATGTAGTTTTAGTGGAAGCGAATGTAATCCAACTCTGGTACTATCTTCAATATACGCATCATATTTTGGGTGATCCGCGAGGAATCGCAGATTGCGGCGATGTCATTAGCACACTCCAGATCGTGAACCCCGTCCGTCAGAAGTTACTCCAGGTCACCTGGTTCTCATTTGTGCAGAGCGTTCTCCTAGATATCAATAATCCATCCTACCTGGCTGCGGATTCCATCTATTTACGGTTGGTCGCTGATATCCTTATACCGTTTAGAATCACTTGCATTTTTCTTCGATCACATGAGATCATAATCGTGTGGACCCAGTCAACCGCGAGTGAGTTTTGACCGTTTCTATCCTATCGGGCAGAGGCCAACTGGCTCGCGGTGAGCGATGGCGAGTTACGAGGCCACGTTAGTTCTCTTACATTTATTGGCCACCTTGACACCCGGACTCCAGACGAATGTAAACTTGTCTCCCGTTTTTTTTTGAATTCAGCACTACGCAATGACGTTTTGCTGCCACGCGATCACCTCCAGTCACGCGCCGATCGGGGATACTGCGAGGTCACCAGCAACCAGGCATATTCGAACCAGTGACCTTTGGGTTACAAGACACTTTGCGTACCCTTTCGGCAAAGCACTGACCTCCCTATTCGAACACATCTGGAAGGAAGAGAATGTCTCGGCTAACTGGAGTGAATCGAATATAGTAGCAATATACAAGAAGAGCAGTCGCACAGACTGTGCTAACCGCAGGAGTACTAGCCTAACGCCAGTTGTGACAAAATTACTGGCTTCGATCCTCGTTCGTCGCCTCACTGGGGAACGAGGATTTCGGATTAGGGAAGAGCAGGCCGGTTTCCGCCTTGGACGGAGCTGTGTAGACCATATATTCACTCTGGCAGGTGCTAGAGCTACGCCGCGCATACTGCAGACCGACAATAGCTGTGTTCCTGCGTTCCATTCAGTCGATAGATCGATTCTGCTCGAAATACTAGCGCGGAAAGGTGTTCCAACGAAATATGTGAACATCCTACGTGCTCTATACTCAAACACTCCACGCCGCGTCCGCATCTACGATGTCTTGTCGAATAGCTAGCTTTCTGACAACAAGTGGCGTTCCTCAGTGTTGTCCGATTTCCCCGTGTTTTGTTCACTTTGGTCGTCTACTGCATCATGAAGTGTTCCCTTGCGGAATCTCACGATGTAGACGTTGAGGTCCTGCCTGGTGATAGGTTAGTTAATATTGATTATGCAGACGATATCGTGTTACTTTTTGACGATGTTGTGGCGGCACAATCACCCCTGAATAGCCTCTCTGTAGTGGTCCCGTTATTTTGTATGCGCTTCGCACCTACGAAGTGCAATGTTACTGCAGGACCACCAGCCACACTATGACCCCTTGACTCTTGATAACGAGGATCTGGAGGTGGTTGATCGATTCACTTACGTTGGCAGGTGACTCAACAACAGTGGGCGCATAAAAACTGAAGTCTGTTTACACATTGCAAAAGCCAGTACCGCCTTTATGAACCTGCGGCATCTTTGGCGACCGAGGAGAGTTTCTCTCCGTCTGAAAGGCTGTGTATACAAGGCCGCACTGAGGGCTGTCCTGCTCTATGGGGGTGAGACGACCTCCTGGGTCTGATGATCTGAGGCACCTTCAAGTCTGATCACCGTTGTCTGCAGAGCATTGCTGGTGTTAAGTGGCACCAGCGTGTCTGCAACGATGACGTGCGTAGACGATTACTAGGGTAGTGATAACCATGCTAGTTCCTTAAAACAACAGATCACACTGAATAAGTTGCGTTGTCTTGGGCACGTGCTACATATGCCTGGTCACCGCTTACCTAGGAGGGCCTTGTTTCGTCTGCCAGGTGTAGGGTGGCGCAAGGCTCGAGGTGGATAGAAGTTGATCTGACAGCGGGAAATGAAGTCACAGACGATCCAACTAGGTGACGTCGGACCTTTTCGCCTTCCGGGCTGGAGTCCACGTGACTCGCCTTGTGCCTCGTTCGAGACTTTACAGGAGATGGCTCGCAGCCGACACCAGTGGCGCGTCTGCTGCCATCTCCTAATCGGATTGCCTTTTTAATGTGTGTGTTGCTGCGTTCTCTGCGGCGTAATGGCTGATTATGGCGTGGAGCAGTGAAAGCCATAAGCAAGCTGACTCGCTGATGCCGTCTTATCTTTGCACGATAGCTCGCTTTTTGTGACGGTATGTTGTTAACACACGGTGTAGGCGCCTTGACTCTGAATGTTTGTTTTTGGTATTATGGTTTTCCGGTAAGTCCTCTCTCTCTCCCTCTTATTATTCTTCGTTCCGTGCGTCGTTATTGTTGTGGCAGCGAAACATCAGTTTTACTGGCTGATATACTGTCATTATTATTATTGAGCTTTAATCAGCGAATTTTTTCCTACTGACAATCCATTTGAGGCCGTTTTCCAGGCCCTCATTCTTTAACCCCAAGTTAAATGCATCTGTAGGTCTTTGTAGGCGTTAGTCATCACAGATAGGTGAACCACGTGGCAGATTGATCTTTACACTGGCAGTTTCGATGGCATTGCGTTGATTTTCTAAGAACACCGCACAACTAATACGGAAGTTCCCTCGACTTTTGCTAACAACCCCTAGTACGCGCTGAATTTAACCCCCGACCGTCTATCTTAACTGGCTTTTACGCTTCCTTCGCCTACCATCTGCTTAGCTCGATGCCTTCGTCATTCTTTACCTCTTTAGGTAGGGTTTCTAGGTTTTCTTTCGGTTACACACCACATACATTTGATAACTGATCTAATTGTGGTATCAAGGTGGCGAGCTTCATTTCCCCTACTGGCGGCCTCCAAACCTGCCCCATCGTTAGTTAACCCATCATCAAGCTTTAAGCACTCGTCCATCCAATAAAGCCCTTATTTTGGCTGTCTTGATCCTCTCTGATTTTCGGTGTCTGCTTTTGTCTATTTAAATGTACTTTTTCAACTGCGATCCTAATGATGGAACTGACCAAGCTTCACATCAATAGGAATCGCACTACAATCCATTCACGCAACGAGCTCTTCAAACTTACCCACCAACCGGTTAATGCATTTGTGGGGTGACGCTTCGCTTTGGACGCAAAGCTTCTTCGAGTAAAAGAAGCATTTGAGTTAAAATCGAACGTCACCCAACAATAACTCAAACAGTTGTTTACAAAGCCTTTTTGTATAATGACTTCCTACGGTTGCAAACGTATCCCAAGAAATGGAATGTTCCGCGTCTATCTTATCAAAAAAGGTCGTGGATTGCCGTCTTTTCGGGCGAGCAATGCCCAATTTCCGTCTTAGTTACGACCCCAGCGATCGATCTGACCAAGGTTCACTTTAGTGTGGATCACGGTCCACATTGTTATTGTGCGCCTCAATCTGATCGCACAACGAGTACTACAAAAATTAACCTACATTCATACTACTTGTTTTCTTATCCCCGGGTTTCTTCATTATCTTTAGTCCTAATGTTACTATTATTATTGTTATGTTTGTTATGATTATTATTATTACAACATGATCCAATCCATCTAAATCTCTATAATTTGATACATCGGCAAAGCAACTGACTCGTTCTGTTATTTTAATTTCTTCCTCCTATTTTTCGCTTCAACTCAATCGCGTTAATGCGCTCGACTGAGCCAGTATTTTCGCAGGCTCCAGATTGGTCACGTCTTACCATCTGTCCGATTGTTTATATTCTGTAGTGATACGTCATACTGACATGCGGTGTAGTTTCTCTAGCTACTTCTTAGGAATAAACCCTGTTCGTTTTTCTTCACAGCATCATTATAATGATTGAGAAAAGGAAAAAGCGAAGACAAGCCGGTGATTTGCAATCTGATGATCATTCTTGGAGACCTAAGGCAGAAGAACTTGAAATCACTCAGTACTTGTTAAAAAAGCTTCCTAGCAAGGACGGTCGTCTTTCGGGTATGATAGTCCGGACGTTTTGTCCAAACGAAGCTGTGGATGTATTGATGGAATCGCCTTGGGCCAAAGTACAACCAGCCCATGTAAAATCGAAAAACCCAAAGCCCAGATTATTTGATAATCAGGCAGCTGCCATTTCCTACTTGAATAACTTGTTACAGAAACAGTTATTTCGACGGTAAGCTCCTTTTCTGCTTATTTCTTGAATACAGGGCGATTCGTGTGAAGAAAAAGTCTGTTATCAAACGCCGCGATGAAACGAAAGTTACTAAGATCAAATCGAAGAAACTTGGCAGTGAATTGAAGGCGAAGGAGAGCTGCGAGGATCCAGCTCAACCAGAGGTTAGTACTTTCACATTATGCTGATCTTTCTTCACTCGTCAAATTTATGGTTCTTCCTCTATGTGTCACTGTGCTATTAGGTAAAATTACGCCGCTGAACTTCGGTTTTATAACTATTTTTCTTGCGTTGTTTTTAACATGCATCTTCTTGCATGGTTCGATCATTTACTACAGTACTTAAATGGTTTTGTCCTGGTTACATAGTCACTACTGTGGAGGCCAGAGGTCCTCTAACCTTGGATCCTAATTTGACGGTCGCCACTTCGTGGCGCATATCTCAGTCTCAGAACTTGCACCTAACAATTCCTGTACGCTGAACACTAGGACTTACCCTGCCGATCTGATGTTTGCAGTTTCATTTGGTTTTCAAAGGTATTGTTTCTGCTGTCGCTGTAGTAGCGACGTTCACTTCTCCAACGCGGTTGGCTCACATTTGCTTTGTACTGCTCTTCACTGCCTTGTTAGTAGAGGTCATCTGCAGTACGTCGATACGCCGCACCGACGCTTTGCTGCCACGCAGTCACCACCAGTCGCATATGGGCTAAGAATACTACGAGGGTCGCCCGATCTGCTACGCAGACTCGAGCCCGCAACCTCTGAGTTGCAAAGCAGACGCCTTGTCTTTTCGGTCACTAGCCGGCTCTTAATAGTAAACCCCCCTTATCGCACAACCACGGCCGGAAGACGAGCGCCATGGATTTTCAACATGTCACGCGGCTCCGGATTTCTCTGTGAATATTCCCACTTAGCTTCTTTAGTGGTTGCCACCTTTATCTCACGGCCTCATGTCACCTTTGAAAAGTGACCTCTCCGTTCTGCTCTCTAAACATACTTCTCTCGGAAGGTATCAATCAATCATGCGATGCAACGATAATGCCATACTTTCCAGAATTCACGTGTTCCAGGATAATCCGATTCACATGGATGAATATTGATAGGAGAACGCTCGGATTTTCAGCATCTTGCATTCTAGCTTGCACACAGCGACCTCCCAGTAGCAGTTTACATACCTGCATCGATGCGTCAGCCGGTGCAAAGTGGCCTTGTCCGAATCAGTCAGCTGGTCTCTTTCTTGTGCTGTGTGCCTGTGTCCCTTCCACTTGTCATCAAATC